ATCTACTGTAATTCATTACTCTGCTTGTTTATTTTCCCATTCCCCTCACAACCTCTTATATGTAATTTTGTATAGCAATGAGGGTCTCCCTTCATTTCCATGCAATTTTAAATTTGTAGTCTTTGATTTGGGTAACTCATTGATTTCCTTGAACTTGAGGATCATAGGAATAACAATGTTACTGATCCTTTCATTATTTACCTTAAGAAAAGTTTTATTTCTCAGCAAATGATAAAATTATACTCTGACCTAGTGCTTTTGTTGATTCAACATATTTAGAAAAATCTAAGAATAAATATAAGTTTGGAGATCAGTTTATTTGAAAGCTCACTGAAATTCATTTTGTACAGAAAAAAATTACCAATGCTGCTTCCCATTCAATTGATCACCAACTCTGAAAGAGATTGACTCCTTAGAACCCAGAGCAATGTCTAATCTATAAAACATTCCAAAATGTCATCTTGGGACAATTTTGAATTCTGTGATAGAAACTGAAAACTGGAAGATAACATTTTTCCCCTGTTCAGGTAACTTACCATCTACCTGAAGTGACAAAATATAACCACTAAAGAACAAAAAATAAATCACATAAATAGATAATAGACAGATAGATAGATAAATAGATAGATAGATAGATAGACAGTATATGTTCTATAATTCATGACCAACATCCAACCCTGCAACTGCAAATAAGATTTCTAACTTTTTTATGTAATAGTCCAAAAAATTTTTTACTTCTCTCTGCCTTCATTATTATGAAAATTAGACAATGCAGGATTTTAAAAAGAAGAAAGGGAGAATGAAAACTAGAGAAGAAAAGCATATAGATGATCACAGACTTTTGAATTTTTCTAGGATATTTGTGCAAGAGACTTGAAACAGTCTGTTTATCAGGCTCATGTATTGCCTCCCTAGCAATTTCAAAGTTGACTGCTCCTATGTGATAAGGAAATGAAATGATGAGCAGGAGAGATTAGGCACTGCCTGAATGGGGTGGGATGGGGACTTGGCAGTAAGAACTGATTTGATCTCCTTAAAATCCCAGACTTTACCTCAAGATTATTGTCTTAAATATTCTCTTTTATCATCACTCAGGTTTGGTTTGTAAGATAGAGATATGATTGTTCCAAGAAAGAAGACATATGCAATGTTAACCAAATGCATATTTCTGTCCTTCAGATATGTCTGGATACTTGTTTATGGAGTGTGAGGATTGGTTTTTAGTAGTATTAGTCATTACTAGCTCTTGCTAGAATCATCACTGTTCCTATTATTTTTTTTCCATTACAGCACATTAGAAAAAGAAAAATAAATTATTTTACTTTAACACTCTATGAAAGGCTACATTACCAAGCATCTCTCCCCGAATAAGATTAACAATGCTGCACTGATGAAACTGCATTGGTATTGAAGAGTAGAATTTTTTCTTTATGCTGTCTTGAGAAAAAATTTGATCTTCATGAAAAGAAAAGTTTCTATGCAGAATTTTCATTACAAATTATCTTTGAGATGTAAAAATATGCAATATTTTTCACTTTAGAAACAATATAAGGCACGGTCTATCTCTCTAAACCTCCATTTTACTACCTGTAAAATGGCAATACTAAAAGCTACCTCTTGGGCTGTCAAGAGTGTTGGATACATATAAAGCAGTAATATCAATACATGTGGGTCCAGTGTGGAATTCAAGTTCTGGTGTCCTCTATAAAACCTTTCCTAAGAACCCAACCCTATATATTATTTCCGACTCTAAATCCCTTATTTGTCATTAACTTTTGGCATATGCTACTTTGTACTTATTATATGTATTTGTCTAATACATGACTGATATATAT